GAAGGTAAAAGCCTATTTAAACTGCAGTGTCTCTGTATGCTGGTTTATGCGTTCTCCAACACAACTCTCACAATGCTTCTCTGAATGTACTCGCTCTCCCAACGGGGAGCTTACATAACACACACACTTTTTTTTGAGGGGTGTGGGAGAGTCCGTGCAGCCTTTTGGACATTTTAAAATGCTGTTTGGAGTTAGTTTTTGGCATCTTGCAAGCAACGTTTTCCATTGTGGGTGTTTATGCCCCTTTTCCATTCGTCCCTTCGGGCGTTAGGATTAGGGGGCTGAACAGCACTTCGTTTAGTGATCGTTCAAAGTTACAACGTGCCTGAATAAAAGTCACTTAAGGCCATTTTTCACACTTATGACCATCGCAGCATCCCCGTGGTCATCTGATCAAAATTCAGGCAGTTGGCAACTGACTCACATTTATGACGGTTGTATGCGGTCTCCTTTTGCGACTTTCTGACGAGGAAAGTCAATGGGTAAACCAGGTTCACTTACCAACTACAATTATTCGCTTAACAACTGACCAGAAAGGTCGTAAAATGAAGCAAACCTTGCTTGACAAATGTCTCGCTTAGCAAAATAAATTTGGGGGGGCATTCTGGTCCTAAGTCGAGGAGTACCTGTAGGTTTTGGGTTTTTTTGCACAAGGTATATATTTTTCTCTCTTTGCAGTTGGTTTATTTGCATTTTAGTTTCTGTCACCTCTTTGCTTTCTCCCCTTATCAATCCCCCCCCCCAGATTAACTCTTAGCAATAGAGGTAGTCCTCGACTTATGACCACAATTGAGCCCAAATTTTCTCTTGTTAAATGAGACATTTGTTAAGTGACTTTTGCCCCATTTTACGACCATTCTTGACATAGTTGTTAAGTGAATCTCTGCAGTTGATAAGACCTGGTTGTTAAGTGAGCTTGGCTTTGTCGCAAAGGCAGATCCCGTGACCATTGGGACACTGCAACAGTCATAAGCATGAACCAGTTGCCCAGCATCTGAATTTTGATCGCATGAGCATGGAGATGCGGCAAAGTTCGTAAAAAACGGCCATAAGTCACTTTTCCCCCCAGTGCTGTTGTAAATTCAAACGGTCGCTAAATGAACTGTCGTACGTCTAGGACTGCCTTATCAGGAAATGACAGGTATAGCATTCAGAGCTTCTGTTCACCTCCCATATCGTTCCCTAATGTCAACCAGTCATCCTAAACAATAAAAAATCAGCCATACTTTCATGCTTGTAATCCATTCCTTCGCCATGTGTACATTGGAATAGGGGCATGTTTGAAAAACAAGCACACAATTTTCTAAGCGGATAATCATCATACTCTCTCGGGATCCAAATAGCCCAATCACCATTTTTATACTCTTCTCATCTCATTCCTACCCATTCACGAAGGGCCAAAGATGGCATTTTCTTTCCGGATTGCCATATTATATTCATAACATCGCACCATTTCCCCCAAAAAACTCATCATACGATTCTACCTTTATTAGCATTTAATGGAACATAATGTCCACCTGTCACCTAGCTGTAGATTTCTCTTTTGATGTGGACTCTGCATTCTAGACGACCCCAAATTTCTACTTTCCATTTATACATCTTAGCTCTTCCATTCAAATTTCTCCGCTTTTTAAAAAGTTTTATTTTATTTTAATATAAACAATCCATCTTCCTTTAAACTGTGTGCCGTCTAAGTACAAGTATTTTGTGCAAGCAATTAAAATTTACAATCTTACTCATTTTTTAATCTATTCATAGCTTAATACCAATACCTTAAATGTCTTATACTATAACAATCCTCTTCATGATTTATTTAACTTTATTAATAATATTAACTACTGGTACATTTTCTGTATTTTACACAACTCCTTTTACCGCTGATTCTTATATTTATTCTCTAACCATCGCTAAAATGATTCCCAAATAGTGTGATAGTCAATTTGTTCTTTTCTCTTTAATTGCCAGTCTTAATCAATTCATTTCTGTACATTCTGATACTTTCCTAATCACACTCTCATTTGTAGGAATCTCTTCACTTTCCAGTTTTGTGCAAATTTACACCTTGACGTTCCTGCGTGTATAGTAGCCCTCAACTTAATGTCAGTTCAAAATTATAGTGGCACCGAAAAATGGTGACTTATGACCATTTTTCCCCACAGTTACAACCTTTGCAGCATCCCCATGATCGTATGGTCAAAATTCAGAAGCTTGGCAACTGGCTCATACTTATCACCGTTGCTGTGTCCCACAAAGCCCTGTGATCCCCTTTTGCGACCTGCAAAGTCAGCGGGGAAGCTAGATTCACTTAACAACTCTGTTTCTAACTTATCAGCTGCAGTGATTCGCTTAACATCTTTTGTCAGGAAGGGTGGTAAAGCTCACTTAATAAATGTCTCACTTAACAACAGAAATTTTGGGCTCGATTGTGGTCATAAATGGAGGACTGCTTGTATTCCCCCAGATCTATTCTGTAAATGAATAACTATTGTATTACTATTTACCCTTATATTACTATTGTATTCTATTACTATTGTATTACTGATAACTACTGTATCCATTGAGTTTCATAGCACACAGCAAATCTGCTTTTCTTTCATTCAGAGAAAGGAATAACATATTAGTAACAACAAAAGGGGGATGTGATGGCTCAGTGGCTAAGATGCTGAGCTTGTGGATCAGAAAGGTCAGCAGTTCGAATACCTAGCACCACGTAACGGAGTGAGCTCCCGTAACTTGTCCCAGCTTCTGCCAAACTAGCATTTCGAAAGCACGTAAAAATGCAAATAGAAAAATAGGGACCATGTTTGCGTTCCGTGCGCCTTTGGCATTGAGTCATGTCCATGACCATGGAGACGTCTTTGGACAGTGCTGGCTCTTCAGCTTTGAAACGGAGATGAGCACCGCCCCCTAGAATTGGGAACGACTAGCACATATGTGCGAGGGGAATTTTTACCTTAACAACAGAAGAGAATATTTGTATCTCAGGGTTGAACTGCGGTCTAGACAAAAATCATTCAATAAACAATGCCCCAATCCAGAACTACGGGTAGTCCTCAACTTATAACCATAATTGAGCCCAGAATTTCTGTTGTTCAGTGAGACATAGGTTGTGAGTTTTGCCTCATTTTGTGACCTTTTTCGCCACAGTTCAGTTAAGTGAATCTGGTTGGTTTCCTCATTGTCTTTGCTCGTCACAAGGTCGCAAAGAGGGATCACCTACCCTTGGGATACAGCAATGGTCATAAGTATGAAACAGTTGCCAAGCGTTTGAAATGGGATTCCATGGTCATGGGGGGATGCTGCAAAGGTCTTAACTGTGAAAACTGCTCCTAAAGTCACTTTTTTCACTGCTGTTGTAACTTTGAGCAGTCACTAAATGAACTGTTACAAGTCGAGGACCACCTGTATCACCCCAGACAGTCAAACAGTAAATAACAACCTAATCAAGAAACCACCAAGAACATTCTCACCAATACTTAAACAGACCAAACCCCTCTCCTTTCCAGCACGGATGATGTTCCCTATTTGGGTCATGAAACATCTGCCAGAAAACCACCAAGCTCAGAGAGCACCAAGGACCCCACAGATCTCCTCCCCCCTGCAAATCCCACTCCCTTCTAGCACTGATGATGTTATCTAGTTGGGTTATGAAACGTCTGCAAGAAAACAACCAAGCTCAGAGAGCACCAAGGATCCCACATTGTAGAAAGCTTCATAGTTGAACCAAAGCATTATGGCAGTCCTGTTGCAGCTGCCCGCAGAGCTGCACCAAGGATCCATGCCACTGTTTGAGTTGGCCTTTTTCTCTCCACGTCAGTCAAAATTCTGATCATCCCTTTTTGTTTTTAATTCTGTATAGCAACAATGGCAGCCATGTACTACAGCTACTACATGCTGCCCGATGGAACGTATTGCTTCGCCCCACCGCCGCCGGGGATTGACATGGCTACTTACTACAGCGCCCTGCCAGCTGGGGTGACGGTGTCGAGCACCACCGGCGTAGCCACCATCACAGCACCTCCGCCTCCTGGCACGACGCCACCGCCATCCTCTTCTGAAGCCAGTGAAGACACGAGTGGCGCATTACCTGGCACAAGCACTTCAGCAAGGTATGGCATTTTAGGCTGGGCTGTGCAGAGGAGGAGTTTTGTTGAGTGGCTTGTGCAACTAACAGGCTTCTCGTGTAAGAGAGCATCTTTTTTCTAAGGGTGGTAGGGGAAATCCCCAGCTGGAAGTAAACCCAAGCTAAGGACAATAACTTGTTGGTAAGACTCAACAATTGAATTGGTGCTGAGATAATACGGACTTGATAGCAGTAGGTTCTGTACTTGGCTCTTTTTCCAACAGAAGGTTTTCTTCACAAGCATCATAAATCAGTTTCCCTCCCTGCTACACCCTCTATCTTTTTCTCCCTCCCTCCTTCCCTTATTTTAATCTCTTTTATGCCTTCTTCCATTCATTCATCCCTTCCTTCCTCCCTCTTTTTCTCATTTGCTTGCTTCCTCCCTCCCTTCCTCCCCCTCTCCTTTTTTCCCCTCCCTCCTTCCCTTCTTTTAATATGTCTTTTATGCCTCCTTCCATTCATTCATTCATTCATCCCTTCCTTCCCACTTTTTCTCATTTGCTTCCTCCCTCCCCTTCTCCTTTTCTCCCTCCCTCCTTCCCTTCTTTTAATATGTCTTTTATGCCTTCTTCCATTCATTCATTCATCCCTTTCTTCCTCCCTCTTTTTCTCATTTGCTTGCTTCCTCCCTACCCCTCTCCTTTTTCCCCTCCTTCCCTTCTTTTAATGTCTTTTATGCCTCCTTCCATTCATCCCTTCTTTCCTTCTTTCCTCCCACTTTTTCTCATTTGCTTCCTCCCTCCCTCCCCTTCTCCTTTTCTCCCTCCTTCCCTTCTTTTAATATCTCTTTTATGCCTTCTTCCATTCATCCCTTTTTTTCTCCCCCCCCCTCTTTTTCTCATTTGCTTGCTTGCTTCCTTCCTCCCTCCCTCCCCTTCTCCTTTTTCCCCTCCCTCCATCCTGAATTTTAATATCTCTTTTATGCCTTCTTCAATTCATCTCTGCCTTCCTCTCTCCTTCTCTCCCTCTTTTTCTCCACCAAAATGGCCGTGCATAGCTTATAGGAGGCTTTCAGAGAGCTGGGGGCTGGGGAGGGCAGAAATGAGCAAAAAATGGGCTGTTTTTTGCTCAAATTTTCCCCCCCAGCCCCCAGGAGCACTCTATAAGCTTCCTAATGCCCTTTTTAATGATTGTTTTGCTCGTCGTCCCACCCTCGGACACTCTACAAGTCTCCTAAAGGCTATTCATGCCTTTTTTTGAAGAAAAAAAAAGGACCCGTTTTCACAAAAAACGGGCCGTTTTTGGGAGGTTTGCAGAGTGCAAAAACTTGTTTTAATTTGCCTCTTCAAAACCTTGGTGCGTCTTATACTCCAAAAAATACGGTATATGAACCTGGGTCCTGCATGTTGATGTAACGCCAGTGATTCTGAGTGGCTGGACTGTTTTGTTTTTTTTTGTCCAGACCAGGCTTTGGCATGGAGGCTTCCCAGCTACCAAACAGTGGACAGTTGCATATGTCAAAGTGATTAAATGTTAATAATTAAAAAGGCAGCTCAAATAAAAGGGTGTCTCGTTACATCTTAAAATTGTCAGAGAGCTTTAGACAGAGCGCTGAAGAGCCAGTATGTTTTGCCTTGTCTGGTTTTGTTTCATGGATGATATCCTCGGGGGCTTCTTGTCATTGTTTTTTGACGGCCTTCTTGGTCAGCAATTAATCTTTTCACTAAAAATAATCTTGCTCTCCTCCCTTGCCAGCCCCATGCAGGCTTATAATGTGCAAGAAGCCTATTTAATTTCTGTTTAATGAACCACCCACTTCCAGATGGGTCTTCCCAAGTTTGCGTTCTGAAGAGGATATTCTGTTGGCCCTCTCAAAGCCAGCTGATGTTAATTTTGCTCTAGCATCCCCTAAGAGAACAGGTTCTCCATCAGGAGATGGTGAGTTCTAGTCCTGCCTTAGGCATGTGAAAGCTGGCTGGGTAACTATGGGCCAATCACCAGGAGAGAGTGAGTTCTAGTCCTGCCTTAAGCATGAAAGCCGGCTGAATAACTTGGTCCAGTTACCAGGAGATGGTGAGTTCTAGTCCTGCCTTACCCATGAAAGCCAGTTGTGTAACTTTGGGCCAATCAGCAGGAGAGAGTGAGTTCTAGTACTTCCTTAGCAGGACTAGTGTCCCATATGAGGACAAGTTCTCCATCATTTTTTCCCCTCATTTTTGAGAGCCAATTTGGTCTAGTGGTTAGGGACTGGCCTAAAAAACAGGAGAGGGTGAGTTCTAGACTTTCCTTAGGCATGACTGGGTGATGTTGGGCCAATCACCAGGAGAGAGTGAGTTCTAGTCCTGCCTTAGGCATGTGAAAGCTGGCTGGGTAACTATGGGCCAATCACCAGGAGAGAGTGAGTTCTAGTCCTGCCTTAAGCATGAAAGCCAGCTGGGTAACTTGATCCAGTGATCAGGAGATGGTGAGTTCTAGTCCTGACTTAGCCATGAAAGCTGGTCATGTAACTTTGGACCCATCACCAGGAGATCGGGAGTTCTAGTCCTGGCTTAGCCATGAAAGCGATTCTTAAGCCAGTCCCTCTCTCACTCCCAGCCCAACCTACCTCACAGGGTTGTCGTTGTAAGGAAAATTGGAGACTCCTTACCTATCTTTGCTGCCTTGAGTTTACTTATCAAGTAATAAAGGTGGGAGATAAAAATCGAATGATACAGTTTATGTGGTTCATCGTATCGCTAACGTCTCTCTTTAATTGCACAACATAAATATTTGAAATGAATATCGCTTTGGAATATCGCGTAATGAAAGTAATAGTGTGTGGGTGGGTTTCTTTCCCATAAAAGAACCCGTTCCGAAAGAATGGCATTCAATTAAAGCAGAGTCTTAGCGTTGCAGAATACGTAGAGAATTTCAATAAGCGCCTATTGTCTGACAGAAGCTGCGCATGCAAAATTACCCTAAAACCACTTTTTTTTTTTTTTGTTTCTCTGACTGGGAGCCGTCCTGCCTCAAACAAATGCCGTTTCTCCAGAATTGCATGTTTGCCCGCCAGAATGAGTCGTTCAAATCCACTCATCCTTCGCTAGATGTCTAAAACTTCTTTAAAAAAAACAAAAAAATCCTGCCAACCACTTCTTTTGTTTCGCCATTCTGCTTCAAATCCTTGCAGATTTCCCAGAATTTCATTTTATTTTATTTTTTTGTGAGCCAGGAACAAATCATTCCGCTCTCCTCACCTCACTTGGATGTCTTAAAAACTTTTAAAATCCTGCCTGGGCCTTTAATCCAGGGATTCAGCAGGTTCTGGAGAACTGGTAGTGGAAATTTTGAGTATTGTATTTTTGGAGTATAAGACGCACCTCCCCCCCCCCCCCCCCCCCCCCCCCCCCCCAC